CAACTTGAGATGCTTCTTAAGTAAGATATCTTCAGAACAATGTGTTCAAAAATCTTAGATACACCTAAGGAGTGAAAGTCTGTTGGTGTATTTATTTAGAATGATATTTGTATCAAAAGTCTATGGCACGGGTCTGAACAAGGTGAAATTCTGGTATTTGAAGATGTTTATGGAAAAACATCTTAGAACATATGTACCAGACTAACAGCATTGTCTGCTCCATGACATTGAAAAAACAAAATAAGATGTCCCGCAGTTAGTGTACGGCAGAAGATGACTCCAGTTTTGTATCTGTTGAGGCAAATATTTAAAATATCTTTTCCAGGAGTGGAGCATCAGATATTCCAAGTTCATGATTCTTCCTAGTCTGGAAGCCTACTTCGTGCTTGCCCCAATATTTTGTTAAGAATTATTGTGGTCTTTTGTTGGAATCTCTTGATATCTGGCAAGATAATTTATCTAAAACAAAGAGGATTGGTTAACATATTGAGACACATAAAAGATATGACATATAAAGCTGCTTAGATTCCACAAGCAGAACTTCTATCAGCAGTAGGATTTTGTTGATTTGAGGTTTTTTTTTTGTTGTTTTTTTTTTTTTTAATGGTTTGTTGTTCTATTTTTGTGTTTTTGTAGTTTTTGTTGTTGTTTTTGTTTTTGTTTGTTTGTTTGTTTTGGTTTTTTTTTTTTTTTTTGGGTTTTTGATTGGTTAGGGGGGCTTTTGTTTGTTTTCAAATGAGATTAGTAGAGCATACGAAGAGTCTGTGCTTCACCCAACAATGCCTTGACAAATCAATGCTATATACAAGGAATACATCAATGTCTGCCACAATGTAAGAACACAACCCTGAGGAATTCATTGCTTCAACGAATGAGACATTATTTTACTGATGCACCAGGACTGTCTGGTGGCATGCAAGAATATAAATCAGAATTCATTATCTGAATTTTTGCTCTCACATGAAAGCATTTAGTGCTTTTCTTAGTTTTAGACTGAACTCAGACAAACTGAGCTGCCATAGACTTTTTCCAGCATTGAATCTTATACTTCTTGAAGTACTCCTGGGAAATTACTACATGTTTTATAATGGAGGAAGGAGATAAAAGTGACTGGATCATAGAAAACAATACAACATATCAGATTACGTGAGCCTTCTGTGCAACTAAGCTTTCACTGTATTTTATAAAAATTTTGCATAAGAAGAGCTCTGTCTTAAAGTGAATGGTGTGCAAGTCTCATGTTTATAAGATGATGCCACAATCTGTTATCCCAAGGCAAGAAGCAATCTTGCACAGTTTCTGGAATACTTGGCACTAGTGAGAGCCTCTTTCTCTCTCCCCATCCCTTCCTCCAAAAAAGAAAGTAAGTAAATAATTGCAATGTCCTGTTTAAAAACAAGACCTTGTTATTGGGCTATATCCTTGTTTAGTTGAAGAAGGTAACTTCTTTCCCCTTCTCTTTTTGGTGAAAATTTTCTATATAAAAAAACCACAACGAATTAACCTTAGCACAGCATTATTATTAATCTAGAAAACATCTGGTTCTCTGCTATGCTATATTACACTTCTGATCTTTATCTCACTTCCAAGTATTTTTCTGTATTATTGTAGCACAGCATAAAGATTGCAACCGTGTGAATTCCTTTTGGTAAATTGCTGATTTGAGGAAAATGTCAGGTTCTTTTTGCTTGGGTCACATGCAGTTTTTTTAACACACAGAACATATTTAATGGAAATTGCCATAGGACCGAAGCTGGGTCTTCACATACCCTGTCTAGAGAATAGCAGACAGTGAACATTACATCACAGAAATGCAGTGAATAATCATACATTAAAATAAAAAACTTTTATTAGCATAAATGATATTGTTTCATTTATGTGAACGTTCAGCCTATCATTATGTAAAGATAGATAACAATTTTCTAAGGATTTGAGAAATTTCACTGTATTCTTGTCTTTTGTGACAGAAGCAGTCACCAGCTTGGCTTTTCTTTCTCTCTTTTCTCTATGAATTACCTCATTGCTGCTCAATAAAATCACAGAGCCACTCAGCTGTATCATCACTAGTTGGTCTAGCAAAGAACACAAAGAAAGAGAAAGGATTCGGTGTCCAGACCCTGTAACTGTATTGACTCTCTAATGAAATCCTGTTTTGCTGAGACTGGTTCTTTCCGATAGCAGCATCTGAACCTTTGCAGCCCTTTTTTTTTAACTCTTAAAAAGCGCTATTGCATTCACTGATTGTATTTATTTTAATAACTTTCTTATTTGTGATCAAATATTTTTCTGCAAAGTATACATGAATTATTGAACAATATGCACACATACACTCAGAGTTTAGCGCTAAAATTTCTGTATGATTCATTGTTTTACTGCTTCTAGGTTTTGTTATTTTATTGTTTTTTGGGTTTTTTTAAATTAAAAGCCTTCAGTAATGGTGGGATTGATCTGGAAGATGACATATAAACTTGCTTACCATCTCAAAAATTCCCATCCAAAGTTATGGGTATTACAAAGCAGCCAGCTTCTCAGAGCCCAGTTGCTTTAGTGAGAAAATGTTCAGTAACTGTACTGTAAATCTGAGGTATCCAGAAGAAACTGAAATTATTCTGTAGCAATGCAGAGGTGCGGTAATGAAATTAAATCAAATACTGCAGTTATTCTTTGGATTTGGTAGATGGCGTTACACTTCCCTGTTTACTTGTATTTTTAACAGCTTTTGTAGTTTGCCATGGACAAATACCATCCAGTATTGAATCAGATCAACTAAAAATCCTTGAGAAAAATAACAGTTGTATATGAGGTAGATTTTTGGTATTTTAAATCTGCGTTTTGTATGCACATTACTGCTGTTAATCTAACAGCATCTCACAATAAATCAATGCTGCATACTATTCTGCCTGCTTGTCCGTTGGCTTCTACTACATGCAGCTCTTGAATCCACATTTTTTGCACAAAGTTTCACTTAATTTTCTTTTGAGAGAAAAAGGCTGGTAGTTGACTAAAAAGGACAAAAAAGGTATGGGTTTGATATTCAAATATAAAAGGTATCATGGAGGCCAGCCTATATCACTGCTTTGTTGAAACACTTGGCAGCGGAGAACCAAAAGTTAATCAAGCAAAGAACAGTTGAAAACCTTATTTAAAGAAATCACATCTGCTTAGTAGGAGAAAAACCTGAGGCATATGCTTCAATTTCTTTTAAGCTGTAATTCATCCAGTGGTTTACATCTGTTAAAAAGTATGGAACTTTTCACACCTCTTTAAAGCACAATTAAACTGTATTTATTTTAATACATAATGTGTTCCAAATATGTAATACCTTTTCTGAAATGACTCATAGGTGGTTGATTTCATAGCTCTCTATCATATAACCTTCCAGGTCCTTTGAATTACTTTGTCTATTAACCATACATGAAATTTAAAGGAAAAGGTGTTGAAATGGTGTAAAATGATGCCAGAAACTTCACTACACTTGTCAGTTTATATCAAGGCAACAAATTGGCTGGGAGGGGTGGTGGTGGAGAGGAGAGTTTTCTTAAGCAGTAAAATAAAACATTACAGAGAAGAAAATGTAGTTCAAGGGCTTCAGCCACAAATTTTTCATGTGGGTTTAGCCTAGCTGTTATTGGCTGTTGCTTTTTAAAATCCATGTCTCCCCAAAAGAGTGTTGTTAACAGGACTTTATCCCAATAATCTGACCACATTGCCCTGAGTTTAAAGCACAGTGGTAAGAGTAGGGTCTGTGAACTGTAGAGGACAACCAGACCAACTACACATTTTGGGTAGAGATTTGGGGGGTTGTATCTCGTTCTTTTGTGTATGAAAAGCAACTTGGTTCTTCACTGTGTGTCTATAATGACTACTTGAATGTTTTAAATTCTAATGAATTCAATTAATTAGCCTCCTTTGATTTTAAAGTTCTCTGTGACTTTTCTTCATCTGATATTGGGATTTAAAATATTTTTGTACTTCCTGCTTAATTCAGATCCTTTAAGATTAGGTTTCTTTTGTAAACATAAATATATGAAAATACATGTGTATAGAATATCTGAAAGACATTTTAATCAGATGATGACATACTGTGTACCATAAATCACATGCATCAGTCAGTACATGGAATGAGTACTTGGTCAGTATATGGTCATTTAATAGAAGCTAGCCAGTGCTTTGCTTGTTAACATTTCAGCTAGAGTCTAATCAAGTTATAAACGACTGAAAATTGGGCTTTATAGATACATGAGGCATGGAGAACTTCTGTTAGCAAAAAATACTGTGTGTTTTGTGTTAGCAAAAAATATAGAGATTAATCTTGAAAGAATGGCCTGAGTGTAAACCAAGAGAATTCATTTACAGTCCAGCTGAGCTACTCTATTCCAGTGTCATCTTGGGAAAAAAAAAATCTCTGAGACCCTCTTCTGTCTCCTTTCAAAATGTGAATGATTTTACAGTCGTTGAAAATTCAGTTTTTATTGTGAGTTGCCCATATTACAGGAATATGGTAGATTTAAGTATGCACATTATGGTCCCTTTCAATGTGATATATATGTCCATTTCATATTTTGTGGGTTTAGCAGAATGCTTATTTTAGCAATATTTTTTCACTGCTAAGTGAATAGATTATGAAAAAAACACAGAGGAATAGCATACATTAAAAAAATTATTTTTGTCTTCAATATGTCCAGTGTCAAATAGAGCTATTGAACAGCATCTCTTGATGACAAGTTTTTTGAAATGAACCAGATAAATAAGGATTTTTACAATATGCAGCATGGTTTGATGTAGAAATGACACTGAATATTTTTTAAGGAACCCCTTATAAGATGGGATAGTATATAAAAATAAAAATGCTCTCAAATGTGTTTTCCTATTAGTATGCAAGTAATTGTCTTCTTCCCCATTTTTGAGCAGTTCCATTTTTTAGTGATTCTCCAGGTAAGGCTTCTTTATTGCTGCAAAATTTAATCATGTGTTCATCCCATTGTTCTGTCTTGTTGCAGAGGATCTTGATGATCTCAGAATGGAAGGAGTAACAAGTGTGGTGTCTTCTGGGAGCAAATTCAATCAAACTCGAAGTGCTCATACGGCTGAGCCTCAAGCAAAGGTCACATTGAATATATGTGCAAGATGTGCCAGGTAAAATCGAAACAAAACCAGATCATGCTAAGCAATACACTTTTTTCCTCCAGGTATTTTGCTGTGTTTTGTGCTTATGGACCAGGTGATGACCTCTTCTGTGCTAAAAAAAAAATAATTACTTAGCTACTGGCTACCCTATGACCTCTGGCATTTGAATTGTGCAGCTTATGTTTATGCTTGATATGTTGCATCGACAGTGAATCAAAGAACGTAGTTAAGTCTTAGGCCTTGCTTCACAGCTTGAAACTATTTTGAACCCTTCCGTCTCTGAATTTCATTAGTTACTTGAACTTCTGTGGTTTTTCGGGGGATGAATCAGGGAATTTAAGGGTTCAAATCCAATTTGAAAAGCACCTGTATAAATGGAGATTTAGTTGCACAGGTGCAGTTCAGGATTTCAAATAGTTGCTTCTTAGCACCTTATAATCTCATCCTGTTTTACCTCTGAGAAATAATTTAGTCAGGTTGAACCCTTTTTGGTTTTGACAGCTGGCAATAATTTTTACATTTACAGTATGAAGACCAAATAAACAGGTTAGTATTCCTGTAGCTTAGTCAACTCGAGAATGCAACACTAACAGAAACCCCTTAAATTTCCTGGATGAATTCTTCTATGTAGACAAAAGCTCATTTGGAGAAAGGATTTAAGCCTGTTTAAATGACAAAACTAGCCTTCTCACCCTTCTGTTAATGGTTCAGATTAACAAGAACAATATAGAGGCATGCCAATTTTATCTGCCTGCCCTTGCCAGTGGCTGCTCTATTGTGTAGTTTGAGAGCGGATTAGCCGCTTGTAAATAAAAAGCAACCTGTGGTGAAATTAAGTCAAAAGTTTGGCCATATGCCACCCTACTTTTTTCTACTTTTTCCCCCATTTTGCTCATAAATTACTACTTTTCTCAAGCTCTTATATAGACATACAAGACATGCTTCAAGACATTTTCTGATGCTCTGGAAGCACAACTACAGGCAGAACTGAATCATTCGTGCAATAGCATCTCTAGCAGGGTGGTGGAGCCTCGGGGAACTTCACCTCAGTACTGTCAGAGCAGCAGTGACTGGGTGACTGGATGGCCTTGTAATTCTAGAGAATTTTGCTTGTCAGCAGTGTGGTCTTATGCTTTAAGAAAAGAGCAAACATGCAAGTAATGGAATTCTTCCCAATTCATACACACAAATTGCTTATGTTGTAAAACGTTTCCAAACAACTATCTACATGAAAGCGTGGCACATTTTTTCACCTGGCATCTGTAGTCCATGGATTAAGAAGTAAAGATGCAAGGAATATAGAAACCTTAAGTTCTCAAAATTCTGAAGTTCTGAACTTACATAACATCTTTTATGGATTACTATGAAGGTTAATTAAATTTTGAATTCCCTTAAGTAGCTGCTAACAGCAGGTGCCTAAATACTATATATTCTCTCAATCCTGCACACCAGGGAACAAAGGGCTCAGATCTTGAGCCAAACCTAGCAACCTTGGCTATTGGTATTGTTCTTTGACTGCATGTAATAAATGATTCTGCCCTTTAAAATATGAGCTGTGAGAGAATGATCTCACAAAATCCCTTTTGTCACTTCACTTACCAGAGAATGCAAAACAATGCTTTATTTTGCCTGTGCACCTTCAATGATTTCCCTACCGTGTTTAAGGAAATAACTGGGTGATACCTTCATGACTGTGGTGATTCTTTTTACTCTTGTTGCAGTTTAGCATTTTCTTTAAACTTTGGAGGAATTTTAAAAATACACATTTAAAACATTCCCATCTCTTTAGGAGCAAGGGAAGTAAAAAGAGACAAACAGGTATTTCTGTTGTGTTCAGTAGTGAGGAAACTAGCATTTTTTTCTTCAAGGTGATAAAGTCTATCAATTCTTTTGGAGCATTCCTTCCTTCCTAGTGAGGACACCTTTTCTCTCTTCAAGAAAGTTATTAGTGCAATTAGCTCTCTTTAGTACCTTCGGGTTTAGCCTGGAGCCTTCTTGCAGCAGATGAAGTAGGGATTACAGACAGTTGCATGAAACAAGTGGCTTTGAAGACATGAAGACAGTTTTCTTTCCTGTTTGATTCCAAGAGCAATTAGACTGTCAGTTAGTCAATGATATAGCCATTGAAAATACCGTGCTATAAAATTAGAGTTTGACTATTTGGATCATCTCACTGAATCAGTTTCTCGGTGTTGGCCTTTGTTTCCGTTGTTGTGACAAAGGCTAATATTTAATATAAGGTCATAATACAAACCTATTAGAGTATTAATTTGTTTTAGAAATTCTGTTTTTATATTTTCATGTTCCATTTTCTTAGTTGTCTCGTGTGCTATACAGTGTATATATAAATACTGAATTATTTGATTGTAGACATGTTTGAATGCAGTTTAAAAAGAAGTTAATAAAAGCTGTTACGCAGGCTTTTGGTTACAATTAAACAGGTACCTTTCCTCTTAATGTTACTAATTTTTCACATGTACAAAGCGATTGGAAATTATTTGAGCTATTAATGGCAATGGTGTTGTATAGATAATAGGCCTTGTCAAGTCAGATTACCAGATTAGGTTTGCTGAAGGTATTTTGGCTGTCATTAGGAGAAACGCGACTTTTTACTTGAAATTTAATTGGCAGAGTTCCATATATTAGGAAACATGTGTCTTGGCTCATACAAAAAGTTAAATTTTACTCATACATTTGCATAATTGATTTCTTTCAATCTTGATGTATTTTTAAAAAAATGCTTTGCTTTCATTACGCTCTACTCAATTTACGTTCTGTGACACCTCCTTCAGATTTTCCCGCTTTCTTGGATATATTGGAGCTTTTCTGAGAGATGTTTTTTTTAAACAATTGAAGGAGTTTTTCAGTTCTAGCTTTAAGTAATTTGGCTTAATATTTTGTATCTCACCTGGAAAGGACAAATATTCTTATTGAAGTTCCACCCTATTTTTTCATTAAAATAGTGTGTAAGTTTTGGATGCTCTTGCTTCTAGGATTACATTTTCTTGCCATTAGCTCTCTGTCATTATTTGAAAATTAGAGTGAACAGATCTATGGCTATGTGTGCGTTACATTAGCCTGAGAAGAGTGCTGGTTTCATTTTGTATGCCTCATAAAACTACCTGCAGTAGGGTGCAGCTATATGTCTTATATTTCTGTGGTTTCTGGAGCTTCCTGCAAGGACAACAATGACTTGTGAGAAGAATGGATTAAACCAATGGCTTCCCTCCATGCTGAAATCCATACTTGTGATCAGACTTCATTTAGTGCAGTATAGCTCCTACCCTTTGTACCACAAAAAAGGAATGCCAAATGGAAGTGACTATAGTTAGAGATAAAAACCAATTTTTTTACAAGACAAACTAAATCCAGTTTATATTGTCGAGGAAACCTGCAATGATGTTGAGACACTGCCTTTGGGAAAATATTCTCTCTTGCCTGGAGTCTCTTAGACAAAAGTACAAACTTGTTTGAATGTCTTGCGAATCATAAGAAATGAGACTCAGAATTGACATTATTTGAACTAGAATAAAAGTCCCAAACTTGTAGCTTTTTTTAGAAACTGATATTTAACCCTCAATCATAATAATTTCACCAATCATCTTCAAATAATAAACAGGTAGATAGTTATCACAGATCAGGTCTGTAATTTTTTAAAAAGGTGAAGTTCTCCACCTGGACATGCAGGAAATAAAAATGGAAAATTCTTTCAAGATACCATACCAAATTGGTTTTTATAGCTTATGAATTAAAAAAACTAAAAAAATTCCCCCCAAACAACCAAGACCCAAAAAACCTTTGTAAAAAAGTCCCCAGAGGGAGATGAGAAATTAAAGCAAGGGTTAATTCTACTGGAGTATAAATTGGTTTGTAGTCTGGCATATAACAGTAAGAAACAGAGAGCTTACTGTTTTCTGTATAGATGTTTCACACACGATGAGCGAAATGCAGATGGATAACAGCTTTAAGAGGTTTTTCAAATGGGGAAGTAGCTACCCGAACAATGTTATTCCCATAGCTGCTCTTGGACTACAGGGCAAGTTAAGTAGCATATTAAGTCATCTAAATAAAGGGGTGACATCATTCACAAGGTGGAACAAAACAAGGTTTATAGATACAGAAAAAAGGCTACAAAAAAAACCCCAGCCTGTATTTGGAAGGTTTGCTTTTTTCTATTTAGCCTGAAAGATTAGGAAGGACACTTCTACTCAAATGGATCTCGATTTTGATTATTTGAGTAAAATGGTTATAATAATTCTTTCTTTGTCTAAGGGCACAGTTGGTCTGAGTGGCTTATAAAATAGACAGACTCATGCTGTAACATGTTTTTGTGAATCCCTTCTTACATACAGGAAAAACAAATGCATTTCACGTTTGGCCAATGAATTATAAGACATCTTCACACATTAGCAAAACTTGTATGGGTTAAATAGATATTTAAATGACAATTTGTAAAAGCCAAACACCACTTCCATATTTCTCATATGTATTGTGACTTGCACATTGAGCGTTTTGCAAGAATTTAATCAACCATAAGGTAAAAGATAATATTAATGCACTATTGAATGAATTACAGGGGGTTTTCTTTTTTCTTTTTTCTTTTTTTTAAGGACCACCCATTATCCTTGTATGCCCACTGCCATGCTCAAAAGTTAAATCTTGTTCTTGTGGAGTCTTGCCAATGCATTCCTGAAAGTAAGAAGCTTTTTGTTTTTAATAGCGCAAGGGCTGCATTCATTCTTTTTAACATCAATAGATTACAAAAAAGGGGTTGCATGTGATTAAAAAAGAAATGGGATTATAGAAAACATACTGTGCCACAAGCTTGAAGGCTTCTGAACAAGAATGTTGGGAAGGAGCACCAGTCGCATACAAATGTAGGTTTGAGATGCAGTGTTTTAGTTAATATTTTAAGATTAGCTAAAGCAAAAGGACAGTGTAGTGAGGCCTTTTAACATATTGGAGGGATCAAAAATATAGATACAAACAAACAAAACACATCTATACAT